ACAACTGACAGAATGGGAGAAGATATTTGCAAATGACATATCAGATAAAGGGCTAGTGTCCAGAATCTATAAAGAACTTAGCAAACTCAACACCCAAAGAACAAATAATCCCATCAAGAAATGGGCAGAAGACATGAACAGACATTTCTGCAAAGAAGACATCCAGATGGCCAACAGACACATGAAAAAGTGCTCCATATCACTCGGCATCAGGGAAATACAAATCAAAACCACAATGAGATACCACCTCACACCAGTCAGAATGGCTAAAATTAACAAGTCCGGAAATGACAGATGCTGGCGAGGATGTGGAGAAAGGGGAACCCTCCTACACTGTTGGTGGGAATGCAAGCTGGTGCAACCACTCTGGAAAACAGCATGGAGGTTCCTCAAAATGTTGAAAATAGAACTACCCTATGACCCAGCAATTGCACTGCTGGGTATTTACCCTAAAGATACAAACGTAGTGATCCGAAGGGGCACGTGCACCCGAATGTTTATAGCAGCAATGTCTACAATCGCCAAACTATGGAAAGAACCTAGATGTCCATCAACAGACAAATGGATAAAGAAGAAGTGGTATATATATACAATGGAATACTATGCAGCCATCAAAAGAAATGAAATCTTGCCATTTGCGACAACATGGATGGAACTAGAGGGTATCATGCTTAGCGAAATAAGTCAATTGGAGAAAGACAACTATCATATGATCTCCCTGATATGAGGGAGAGGAGATGCAACATGGGGGGTTAATGTGGTAGGAGAAGAGTAAATGAAACAAGTTGGGATTGGGAGGGAGACAAACCACAAGTGACTCTTAATCTCACAAAACAAACTGAGGGTTGCTGGGCAGAGGGGGGTTGGTGGGGGGGTTATGGACATTGGGTAGGGTATGTGCTATGGTGAGTGCTGTGAAGTTTGTAAACGTGGAGATTCACAGACCTGTACCCCTGGGGGGAAAAAAAAAAAAAAAATATATATATATATATATATATATATATATATATATATGTTTATAAAAAATAAAATTATTAAAAAAAAAGATAATGGATATGTTAAAAAAAAATAAAAAAAAATCACCTACAGTAAAATACAAGTCATTTTACATAAAATAACAGTGGACTAGCTGTTGAAAACTAGATTTTATAACTGTTTTACATCCTTCACAAGCAGGACAGTTTTGGATATACATCAAAAATTCTTTCCTTTCAGATTATTTCTTCATTTTGTATAATTGGGAATATGCCAGAGAAATGTGATTTTTATGACTTTTTAAAAGGCTAGGGTTTCTAAATTCCTAATTGGTGCACTCATTTGTCATGTAATGAGATCTTAAAATTTAGAATTATTTCCATTATAATAAAGAATTTCTATACTCCCCAAACTAAAATTACACTAAATGTTAACTAATTGGAATTTAAATAAAAACTTGAAACTACCAAAAAATATTTCTATAGCAAAGGACTAAAATAAGCTTACTTAACTATAATTTTTACAGGAACTTAAAACGTTTCAGTACTTCTGCTTGTCATCTTTTTTAAAGCTACTTTCCAAAAAAATGGACCAAATGCACAACTATTTTTTAAAAGTAATGAAATAACCTAGACTCTCTATTATTTAACTTTTTCTGCTGAAGACCAATGGGAGAACTAACTAAGAAAGTAGGCGCAGAATCTAGTGTTGGCACCATAGTAGGCATAGCTCAAACAAAGGGCATTTGGGACAAAGGGTTTAGATTTTTGTGGCAATGTTAGTGATGGGGAATATGATGGAGGGGGCTAAATAGCTCCTTGCCCATTAATGGCATCATTTTTGATGCAGCAGGTGTCATTTCCAGTGAATTAATGTCATTGCTCCAACTAATCAGTTAAGAAGAGCCACAGCTACATTTTTTTATACTCTTGAAGGACAGATAAGAAAAAAGAAAGACATTCTTGTTATTTTTAACAAATGACAGAGATATGAAGAAAAAGCCAATATATTCTAACAAAATGTTAAGAAAGTAGAAGATAATGCTGTTTTTTTTTTTTTAGATGGGAGGATGAAGTCCACAGAAAGAAATCAATATAAAAAGTCTCAAGAGAAATGGTTTTTAGAATTTAAAGAAATTTAATACTGTTTTACAGTGAATAAACATTATAAAGTATGTTTATATCCATGCTAAATAAAGGGTACACTTTCTCTTTTATTAGTTTTAAAAAGGCACGGAATTATAAATAATCTATAAAACAGATATATAAGTTCAACAACAACCCAATGTAAAGCCTGTAACATTTTCCTTGAGTTTCACTGACCTTACCAGTCCTCACCCTTTTGTACCCCTCAAGGGATTCCCTTCCTGCTGCTATGCAGGAACCTGAGTCCTGCCTGAGGGTTCCAACAATAGCTGTCAGAAGAGGTTGGGATGAAGCATTCCTGTTCTAAATATGGATGTTTTCTCCTTCTGAGGTGATTTACATTTTCAACTTTCTCTGTCCTTACAGACTTTGCTTTTTCTGGGAGAAATTTCAGGATAGAAGACCTTGGCAGAGCCTAGATACCACAGTAAAAGCCATATTTTCCCACTGCATAAAGACTACCCCTTCTCACAAAGACATACATAAGTCATAATATAGCTAATTTACACATTTTCCTCACATATGTCTTTTACCAATTCTGGTTTCATTTTATTAAAATACTTGCTGGAGTTTCAATTCCTCAAGAGATTCATAAAATGAGCCAAATGAATCCATGAATTGTCTTCCTGTATTATTATTTATAGGCCTAAGAGTTAACCCACCATAAGCCGAAACCTGCTTCCATTGGGCAGATGTTTGAGTCTCATCTCCACCACTATGCATATAAAGCTTTAGCACATTTTGGTATATATATATATATATATATATATATATATATATATATATACACACACACACATATATATATATATATACACATATACACACACACATACATACACATGTGTGTGTATATATATATAAATATAGTATATATAAACACATATATGTGAATATGAATCTTGTTATGATATTTATTTTATGATTATATATGTTATCTCTTAAGTAAATTTTAAGCATCATATCTTACACATCTTTTATAGCCAGCAGGGAAGAGTGGAGGTGCAAAGTAACATTTGTGTTTTCTGTATGTTCAATCTTGCCCTGGGTGATGTACTTATATTAGGCCACTCAATCCTCCCAGAACTCTTAAGGGGTATGATACAATCTCCATTTCACAGATAAGACTGCTAAGAGTCAAAGCATTTATAAAGATAAAACTAGAGATAGGTATATAAATATTCACATTCATTGCCATAAAGAACACAATGAGGAAAGGATAGTCTCTTCAACAAACGGTGTTGGGAAAATGGATATCAACATGCAAAAGAATGAAGTTGAGCTCTTATGTCATACCATAAATCCAATAAAAATGGATTAAAAACTTAAACAAAAGATCTGAAACTATAAAACTCCTAGAAAACAGGGGAAAGGCTTCATAACATTGGACTTGGCAATGATTTTACAGAAATAACTGTAATAACTACAGAAATAGGCAACAAAAACAAAATAAACAAATGGGACTACATCAAACTAAATGACTTCTGCAGAACAAAGGAAAAAATCAACAGTGAAGAAGAAACCTGTGGAATGGGAGAAAATACTTGTTAACCATATATCTGATAAGGGTTAATCTCCAAAATATATACAAAACTTCTGCAATGCAAAATTAAAAAAAAAATAAATTTAAAAAACCCTCCCTAAAGTCCAAATTAAAAACTAGATGGGGGATTTGAATAGACATTTCTCCAAAGGAAACATACAAATGGCTAATGGGTATATGAAAATGTGCCTAACATCACTGATCATCCAAGAAATGCAAATCAAAACCACAATGAGACTAACACTTCACATGTATTAGGATGAATATTATCAAAAAACTAAACTAAAGACAAGTTTGGCAAAGATATGGAGAAATTGAAACACTTACATACCATTGGTGGGAATGCAAAATGGTGCAGTCACTATTGAAAACAGTATGAAATCCCTTCAAAAAAATTAAAAATAGAACTACCATATGATCCAGCAATCCTACTTCTGGACATTTATCCAAAAGAATTGAAATCAAGATCTAAAAGCATTATTAAGCACCTCCATATTAAGCAATATTAAGCACTATTCATAATAGTTACGAAATGGAAACAAGCCTGCTTCTCCCTCTCTCTCTGCCTGCCTCTCTGCTTACCTGTGATCTCTGTCAAATAAATGAATAAAATCTTTAGGAAAAAAAAATGTGGCATAAACATATAATACAAATGAATCAGCTTTTAAAAAGAAGGAAATTCTGTAATATGCAAATATGAATGAAACTCAGAGACATTGTACTATGTGAAATAAGCCAATAACATAAAGACCAGACTGCAATTCCACTCATGTAAGTTGTCTAAAACAGTAAAAGTCACAGAATCAGAGAGTGGAAAGGTGGTTGCCAGAGGCTGGGGCAGAGGGAGAAATGGCAAGTTACTAACTCATGGGCATAAAATTTCAGTTAAGCAAGATAAATTAGCTCTAAAGTTCTCCTGTAAAACACTGTATCTATAGTCAACAATAATGTATTATATATTCAAAAATATGTGAAGAGGGTAGATCTCATGTTAAACATTATTACCATAATAAAATAATTTTTAAAATATTCATGTTTGAGCTGTATAATTGCAAACCACATAAAACATCTCCCCTCCCATTAAAGTATGAATTAATTAAATAATTAATTTTATATTTGACCAAAATTATAAGGTCTAGAATAAGAAAAAAGAATCTTTAACCATTTAGCAATAATTCTGCATAGCACAGGAATCTGACAGTAATGATGGATTCATTGTTTTGTGTCACCCTGAAGAAGCAGAATAGATCCTTATCCAAAATTTGGGTCAGATATCAAGACTGATGATGCCACACATGTACCAAGAGTGTATGAAAAAGGTGTATTACTCACAAACCATGTTTTCTGGGGAGATGCTGCAGATTTCCCAGGGTGATCTGAAAATGGCTTGGGTTTTTATAGCAGTTAAGGGATGAGACCTGGATGAAGGTTAACAGAAGTTGTTTGAACTTACTGCTAAAACCAAGGGAGATTATCCTGACTTTTTAATCTGCTTGCTCATATGGGGATTAGAAGGGGAATAGGGAATAAGATAATGTTTAAAAGCTGTCATCAGTCAAGAGAAAAATGGATTCAGGCTGCTTATTATTGTTTAGTTAAAGGCAAATTTGTTCCAAAAGGATCGAATGACTGTGAGAATATAAAAATGCAATATGAAAAGCTAAGGTCAATTGAAAACAAGAATAAAATTCAAATTAGAAAATAGCAAAGTCTCATGCTTAGCGAAATAAGTCAATCGGAGAAAGACAACTATCATATGATCTCCCTGATATGAGGGAGAGGAGATGCAACATGGGGGGTTAACAGGGTAGGAGAAGAGTAAATGAAGCAAGATTGGATTGGGAGGGAGATAAACCATAAGTGACTCTTAATCTCACAAAACAAACTGAGGGTTGCTGGGGGGAGGGGGGTTGGGGGGGTGGGATTAGGGACATTGGGGAGGGTATGTGCTATGGTGAGTGCTGTGAAGTGTGTAAACCTGGCGATTCACAGACCTGTACCCCTGGGGAAAAAATATATGTTTATAAAAAATAAATTAAAAAAAAAAAAAGAAAAGAAAATAGCAAAGTCAGTTTGTTGTAGTGAGTATAATCTGAATGAGTAGTCATGAAATATTTAAATGTTGAATTTTATTGCTTTGCTTTTATAAAGAGAAATTTATAAAAGTGATTCAAAAATGATACTTTTGAAATTCAGTCTCAAACTTTTGCTTTAGTTGTAAAATTATCTTTTAATTTTAGAAAACATAATCATGAAGTGGAAGATTTTGCTTTCAATTTCCCAAGTGAATATTTCACTTAGTGAATTCATTCTATCTTACGGATACCTCTACATTTCATTATCATCTACTTTGATTTAATTAAGAAATAATCCAACCAAGACAGAGTAAATTAAATAGAAAAAAACTGATATATCTTGGATTTACTCAATTCTCTAAAAGTTCAGTGTTGCTCTAAACTCTGTTGGAAATGGGACAAACCAATTGTATAGTCTGTACCTTTCTTCCTACCTACATCTGCTAACCTATGGGTAGAAAGAGGAGAAGCTCACCTATTAAAGTACTATATGACCCCTTCTCCATGGCATACGTGAGAAGAACTTACAAGGGAAGGATTTGCCTTCCATGCACATGGTGTTTCTCTTTGACGGACTTCTTCAGCAACACAGAAACTAGAAATAAAATAACTTCTACCCACCTTTCTGGACAGAAAGTCAGGCTAAACGTGTGTATGTCCTGTTCCATTTCATCAAGCCTCTCGATGATTAATTTCATAGGTGCAGATTTTTTAGTTTGGGGAAAATCAAGTGAACATTTAGCTGAACTGCTTTCTCCCCAGATTTATTTTTCCCAGTAAAAGATTTAAAAACTAATTAAAATTTAAAAAACCAATAAGCAAAGTTTATATGAAGCACATATAAAAGTGTGCACATAGAATATACACACACACACGTTACTGAAGCCAGTCATATGATATGCAACCGAAGAAGTGGAAAGAAAATTTGACTACAGATGAGTATACATGCTGGCTAATAAGACAAATATGTATCTCACAAATAACATGAGAATATAATCACATAGTTAGAAATAGTGCATACCAATACAATGCTAAATACATAAAAGGTAAGTTGATATTGCAATAAAAGGGGAAAATCCCAAACATTCAAATGTAAATTTGTAATTTACTGCCACTTTATTGCTTAACACCAATTAAACAACAAAAAAAAAAATCAAACAGCTAGAGAATTTAACTTTGAAAATGAGAATTCTGTTATAAACATGAAATTATAAAGCTGCTCATTAATTTTGATGATTTATTTAGTTAAAAAGCACATCATGAGATGAATAAAATTAAGATATCTATAGTTTAGGGCTAGATCCTAGAAATATTACCCTCTAAGTGCATTTTACAAAATAATGACAAAGATGAATATCATGCAGACATTTATGTCCTACTACAGAGCTAAATACACAGGTTAGGAATAGAGCATGGTGTGATTATCTTTTTACTATGGATACTGAAACTTATAATTTCCCAACTTTGCTTGTTGACCTCAATGTCTTTTCTAACACAAAGGAGAAAAACTATAGTTCAGCACATTAATTTAAATATACAGAACATTAACCTCTTAATTTATTTGGCAACTTCATTCATGAATTCTTTAGAGACATAGTGAGCTTAAGAGGTGGAGGGATGATGACAATTACTTTTATCATCTTCTTTGCAACCTTGTCCAATTGAGTGGCATTAATTCACCATGAGTTGTCTTAGATATAAAATATTTAATGATGCTCCCTGACTTCAAATTATAATACAAAGCTATAGTAATGAAAACAACAAAGTAATGGCATAAAAATAGACAAGTACGTAAATGAACAGAATAGGGAACCTGACAGTAATCCCATGTGTATATGATCAATTAATTTGCAACAGGAGCCAAGAATATATATACAATGGAGAAAGGACAGTTTATTCAATAAATGGCTCCTGAAAAACTAAACAGCAACACACAAGAGAATGAAACTGGACCACTATATTACAGAATACACAAAAGTTAAGTCAAAATCTAGTAAAGACTTGAATGTCAGACCTGAAACCATAAAACTACTAGAAAAAAAAACAGGCTTTAAACTCTGAAATGTCTTGGCAGTGATTTTTCTTAACGTGACACCCCAAGCAAAAGTAACAAAGCAAAAGCAAACATAGTGGGACTATATAAAACTAAAAGGCTTCTACACAGCAAAGGAAACCATCAACAAAATGAAAGGCAATCTACTGAATAGGAGAAAATATTTGCAAATCATACATCTGATAATATCCAAATTATATAGAGAACTCGTACAATCCAACAGCAAAAGAACAAACAATTTGATTAAAAGATGAGCAGAGGATATGAATATATGTTTTCCAGAGAAGACATAGAGATGGCCAACAGGTACATAAAAAGATGCTTAACATCATTAATGATCAGGGAAACACAAATCAAAACCATAATGAGCTATTACCTCACACCTGTTGGAATGGCTACTGTCAAAAAGACAAGAAATAGTAAGTATTGGCAAGGATGTGGAGAAAAAAGAACCTTGTGCACTGTTGGTGGTAATGTAAATTGGTGGAGCCACCATGAAAAAGGGTATGGCGGTTCCTCAACAATTTAAAAACAGAACTAACATGATCTAGCAATTCCACATCTAGATAATCATCTGGAAAAAAAAAAGAAAATAACTCAAAAAGATATAAGTACCCCCGTGTTCTCTGCAGTATTACTAACAATAGACAAGCTATGGAAACAACCTAAGTGTCCATCAATGGATGAATGGATAAAGAAATTGTGATATATATATATATATATATATATATATATATATATATATTACTCAGCCATAAAAAAGAGTGAAATCTTTTTTTGTGTGTGATAACGTGGATGGACCTTAAGGGCATTATGCTAAGTGAAATAAATCAGACAGAGAAAGACAAATACCATATGATCCCTCTTATATGTAGAATCTAAAAAAGATACTAGTTCAAAGATACAGAGATAGATTGGTGGTTGCAGGGAATAGGGATGAGAGAAATAAAAGGGAAAAAATATGACATGCTCCTGTGTAATGCTTATAATTTCTTATTGATCAATGAAATTATTACTACTGGTTAAATGAATGGAGCAGTAGGAAGTGGTTTGTTGAGATAACTATAAAACAGCAGGATACTGGCCTGTCAGCATGGAGGAGTGAAGAGAACTTTTTAACATAGATCAACATAACAGAGATGTTCAAGAGTACATGCTCAGTAGAATAAAAGCTACAGTAGCTAAACATTCTTATTCACAACAAATAAGTATATTATTTTGTTCTAGGTAAGAGTGCTTGATTATATTTAAAAACTTTTTCATAGCTGGATGTTCCCATGATAATGACAAGGGACAAATACTAATTTTCTCTCAAAGGTCAAAAAGTATGTTACAAGCCTTTAAAAGAGATGAATATGTCACACTCTAGAAAATGCAGCCACCTATCGTGTAGAAATCAGAAGGCAATTTACAGAGGGTCTCAAGAATGTACCTATGAAGGGAGGAAATAAGATTCTATATTTAAGATAATTAATTGATAATCTGAGTTAGATGAGAAAATCATCTTTCATTGCAAAAAATCATTCAAACCTCCTTAGTTTATATAATGACAAATGTATGAGCCCCATTCAGGCAAAGTCACTAAGAACTTTGTTGCTTAATATTCATTAAATATAAGAATTCTTTTAAAAGAATACTATATGGTTACATTAAAAGCAATCACAAATATCCTAAAATTGTTGTCCTTTTAAACACTTAACAATCAACTGTACTGTCATCCTACTCAACATTCAAATTCTACTGCTACCAAAACTCTACTCCATCTTTGCTTTATTTCCTAAATTTAGTCATTATTTTTCATTTAAATATATATTAATATCTATAATTTACCAGAGACTATACTAGAATCCTGAGGGTTGTGGCAACAAAGGGAGGATAAAGTTTGAAAAGGACTTTTCTTAAATAGCTACTAATCTAGCGGGGGAGCAAAAGAAAAGTAAACATACAACTAAAACACAGCATAATGAGTATTATAATAGAGGTATGTTAAAAAATGGTAGCCGCTAAGTGATTTAATGAACAGGAGCTTGCTTGTCTGTTGAGATGGTAAGAACAGATGGTCTATGCAAGAAGAGGAAAGACACATCAACATATATGAAATACTATGGCAAATTCAGGAGATTATGTACTACTTTGGTATGGAGTAACAGACAGAGCTGCCAAGGAATATAGGAAATGTGGTTGAAAGAGGCATCTCAGGTCTAATTATGAAAGATCATGCATGTGCTGAGAAGAAGTGCATTACTTAGGCACAGAGAAGCCACTGAGGACTTACATGATCAATTGTGGGTTTTAGAAACATTTTTGATGACAGTGTGGGTGATGGACAGAAAAAGGGGAGGATGAAACAGGAAGGCCCATTGGGAGCTAAGATGCTTACCTGCCTGAAAAGATTTGGTTGTGATCTGAGAGAGCAATAGTGACAGGGGAAAGAAAGAACTTGAGAGCTCCTTCAAGATAAGAATGAACAGGAGGAGGTAGTTTGTTGAGGAGATAAAGGAAAGGAAAACATCTCACAATACTCTGATATTTCACCTGGAGAATGATAGATGATAATTCTATTAGAAATGGGAAACATAGGGACGCCTGGGTGGCTCAGTTGGTTAAGCGGCTGCCTTCGGCTCAGGTCATGATCCCAGCGTCCTGGAATCGAGTCCCACATCGGGCTCCTTGCTTGGCAGGGAGCCTGCTTCTCCCTCTGCCTCTGCCGCCCACTCTGTCTGCCTGTGCTTACTCTCTCGCTCTCTCTGACAAATAAATAAATAAAATCTTAAAAAAAAAAAAAAAGAAATGGGAAACATAGGAAAGTATATTTGAAACAAAAGAAAATTTGATGTTGGATGTGTTGTATCTGAATTGTTTGTGTAGCTACATGCATAATCTGACTATATGAAGACATTTGCTAACTTCCTTTTTCCTTCTATTATATTCTGCTCCTTGTGTTTGAGTGTATTAGAATATCTTAATGTCATATTATCACATGCTAAAAAAATCATATCCAAAACCTACATGAAATTCTCCAGTCTTAGAAACTTTCTAATTTCCACAACTGCTACCATTATATAATTGTATTTATCTTTCAAATTGAGCAAACACTGATTAGGTTTTAGACTAGACTAGGTAGAACATGGAGACTAAACCCTATGTATCTGAGTTTGGTTGATAACCCACAAAATTCTCTTTCTAAACATAAATCTGTAAGTCCCTCAAATGGTTTCTAGTAAGAAGTTTGAGTGTAAAATACACTTCTGTATTAGAAGTATAATGCAAATAATAACAAAAAAATCCTAGAGGATTAGGGAAATCTTATTGTGATTCTCATTCATTACAAAGCCTCTAATAATGAAAATACATCTAGTATGGCCATGAAACATATGGGTGAGCATTCATTTCAAAGCAATTGAGCCAAACAAATGAACTCTAATTCAGGGCCCACCCTAACTTCAGCTCCCATCTTGTAAGCAACCACATGCTTTATGCTCAACTTCTGGAAGAAGTCAGCTTCAGAAGGACCTGCTGAGTCAGAAAGGCCCTCTAACTGGCTGGCACGTTGCGTACAATATTTCAGTTCCGATCTTTATTTTTAATTAATTAATTAATTTTGAGAGAGGGAAAGAGAAGGGGATGGGGCTGAGGGGGAGAGTGAGAGGGAGAGAGAGAATCTTAAACAGGCTCCACTCCTGGCACAGAGCCTGACCCAGGCTTTATCTCACAACCCTGAGATCATGACCTGGGCCAAAACCAAGACCTGAATGCTTTACTGACTAAGTCACCCAGGCACCTCATGATCTTTTAATACTAAGAGAATTGATTCCCCTGAGTCAAGATACCATTTCAGAGCTTCATATATTTTGTGAATTCAGAAAGGGAATGTCCCTATATTTATAATTATTTGTGGTTACGGAGATGGGAAAAATTGATGAGGTTTACCTGACAGGTGGTCAAACGGCTGTTCAACTTAGTGTTTGGTATTTAAACTCTTGGCTCTATAATGCAAGAATGTATTATGCCCTAAATGCATTTTTATAGCTCTTCTGGTAATTATTTCCTGCCAATTAAAGTAACATGGATGACTCCAAGCACAAGGTCTTATTTACTATTATATCTTCTTTATCCACTTTATCAAAACAGCACCAAAGGATCATTTATGTTTTAATTTACTTGATTAAAAAATCTACTTTGGGTTAATGTTTCATTTAATAAAAACGCCCCCATGCCTGTCATGCCATTAACTTAGACCAAAATCAGTTAGCAACTGAAACACAGATTTTCGCAACCACATGCACTTGCATAAAGTTATAAAACAATCATTTTTGTAAGATCAAAACCACCAATTTTATAGTTGAGTCACAGTGCTGAAACATCATGGGAGAACCTGAGTTTGGACTGGGGACCTCAAGAGCTGGGAACTTAAGGGGCCCCTGTAACCATCCCATTCTTAGGAAAAGAAAAACATAGAAACCTAGAAAACCTCTCTCAAAATAATCCTGAAACACAGACTTCCCAAACACATGAAGTAATCCAGTGCTAGGTACCTTAACCAAATTAATAACAGAATTACATACTCCTGTCTGATAAAATGAATTTTATGGAACAGCTTGACAAAATTTTAAAATAAATATATTTAAGTGCTAAGAGAGCTAAATGAGGGACTATCATAAGTTAAAAGTGATCAATACTATAAGCAATGGCATGAATTAATCTTATAGACACAATATTGAGCAAAAGAAATCACATTAGAGTACATAATGTATGAGTCCAATGATATAAAGTACAAAAAAAATGCAAAACTAATCTATAGTTTAAGATGTCAGTAAAATGATCACCTTTTAAATGACTACTTTGAGACCACGGAGGGCTCAAAGGGACTTTTGGGAATGTTGGGAATGGTCTATTTCATCATTTGGATGCTACTTACATGGGTGTGCTCACTTTATGAAGAGTACTTTTACTATAGAATGATGATGCATAGTGGACTTCAATTAAAATATATGTACTTAAAATATGAACACTGAACATATTTTTAGACATTAAGAACACGTTCTGCTAGGCACTGACAGTAAGAAAATCCAGGTGTGTTGAACTGATGCATTATTAAAATAAAGTAAATAATAAAGTAAGTAATATTAAAACAGATATGAAAATTATGTTGAACATAATTTGAATATTTGTTAATACTTTAAGCTCCCTAAAATTCATAGTGTCTAATAATCATTACTAGAGTCCATAATTTAACAATTAGCTAACTCAGAAATTCAAATCATAAAACTGCTATTTAGTACCACACATATTAACTTTATAACATATTTACTTTAATATTAATATTAAAGTAAAGTAGGTTCTTTACTTCATAACTGTTAAAGTAAGAATTATTAAACTTAATGTAAAAAATACACTAAAACTAAAAGAAAAATAATTAAATAGAATACTGAAATTTTATGAATGCAACAGGAATACTAACGCATGGAAAAATTTAAAAATATGTCCTTTTATTGGTATCCAAAACCAGTGCATATTGGTCTCAATTAGCCAGCTTAAATCTTCTTCCTCAGTTTCCCGTTATTCAAAATATGCCAGTTTTTGTTCCTTTTTTCTTTTTTTCCTCTTTTCTTTTTTTCCTTTCCTTTCTATTTGCGCCTTTGCATTTGCCATTTCTTCCAAAATACTCTCATTCAAGTTTTTAATCTTGATAAATCCCTTCCTTGAAGACGAAGTTGGAATGGTTTCATGGGTATATGCATATGTTCAAACTTATCAAATTGTATACATTAAATATGTAGTTTTTGTTTATCAACTGTACCTGAATAAAGCTGTTAAAAAAAAAAAAAAAAGACTGAATTGGAATGCTACCTGCTCTGGGAATTCTTATCTCAATCATAGCCACAGTTAGCTGGGCATTCCAACACCCCTTATCAGATATGTGAAATCAAATCTCAGGCTGGGAGAAATACCACCTGAGTTCATTTTATCCATAATTTCCCAATTTTGTTATAGAGAAGATTCTCTTAACCTCTCAATGTCTTAGTTTTCTTCTCAGTAAAAGGGGAATAAGATATCACCTTAAATAGGTGATGGGGATTAAGAGTACATTTATCATGATGAGCACCGAGTACTACAGAATTATTGAGTCACTGTATTGTATACCTGAAACTAACGTAACACTGTATGTTAACCATAGTAGAATTAAAATTAAAAATGTAAATAAATAATTTTCTTCTTAGGATTCTCTTAGTGATTAAATAAATTACATAATTCATTACATAAATTCATAGAATAGTATCAGACAAATACTAATTGTGCATAAAATCCTAATCATTATTTTTGAAGCACAGATTTTTTTGTGTGTGTTCCATAATTTATCTACTGTCAAATTCCGTAAGATTTCCAATTTTGTCTTCACTATATCCTATAAGATTTGCACCTTGCAGAGCAGCTGGCATATATGTGGTACTTAATAACGGTTTTATGATTTGATTTCTGAGTTAGCTAATTGTTAAATTATGGACTCTAGTTATGATTATTAGATACTATGAATTTTAGGGGGCTTAAAGTATTAACAAATATTCAAATTATGTTCAACATAATTTTCATATCTGTTTTAATATTTCTAAGTTCTTTAAATATTATATTAAACAATAAGTACTAATTTCTCCAGAGTTCTGCTAGCCATCTGTGGGATACTTATAGGTGTAGGTTTCAAAGAATGAAGTCCCATTTTACAAAAAATGACAAAAGGACAGAACCTCCCAAAAACCAGAAAAAGAAGAATTTGAGAATAAGATGCCATGTGTCTGAATGAACCAGACTCTGCCTTCAGTTTGCATCTTCCTTTAAGTTACACTCATTTTGATTTTCTCCTTACCAGGCCATTGTATAGCTTCCCTTATGAGATGTTTGCCCATGTCTATGCAAGAATGCTATAAAAGTTCAGACTTATTCAAGATCATAAAAGAGAACCCCATTTGAGCTCTCTGTAACAAAAGATGGTGGCATTTGGTGGCCAACCATTACAATTTTTTTTTTTTTTAAAGGGAGGAGATACTATCAGGCTTGGGGAAAGAATTAGAATAATAGACTTTATACAAAATAGCAATCCTTCTTCCCTCTCTTGATTTTGCCCTCTTCTGATTCTTGGCTTTTTTAGTCCACACAGCAGATAGTGATTATCCATAGTTTTTACTTACAACTGCTTCATTCACAATGGAGTGGGAGTTCTTGATTCAACTTGAAATCTCTACAAGAGGTCCGCTTACTAATAGATACGAGTTGGGCTCTCAAAATTAGCCAATCAGTATGGCCAAGGAGGCAGTTACACTAAAACAGCATAGCTAGGTAAACACACACACACGCACGCACACACTACTGTTGGATTTTGATGGTAACAGCAAGGAAAGAAAGTATCGCAAGTATACTGGGTTTTATCTTGTCACTCCTGAAATCTATGCCAGTCAGGAACCTCAGAATGTGACCGTATTTGGAAATATGTTTTTTGTAGATGTAATCATGGCAAGGCTTGAGATAAGAAATCAGACTGGATTAGTGTTCGCCGAAAACCCAATGATAATGTCCTTCCTTATACGAGGAGACAGAAAGGACACAGGGACACAGAAGAAGGCAATATGCAGATGGAGACAGAGATTAGAGTGATGAGTTTACAAACTAAGGAGCATCAAGGATTCTATGTAATCACCGGAGGCAGGGAGAGAAACTTGAGAAAGTTTCTCCCTCAGAGACTGCAAAGCAAGTTTTTTCCACTTGGAGATTCCCCTCCCATGTATCTTCCGTGTTAAACAACGCACCTTATGTATTATTTTAACCAGGTAAGCTATTCACTTCCAGAGCCCAAGTTCTATCATATTAATTTATAATTGTAAAAGGATCCTAAGCAACTTAACGCAGAGTAATGAAATAATAGTTGACTATTACTGCTCACAAATGTAAAAAAAAAAGTAGAAGATAGTTACTTTTTTATTTCTATTCCTTCACTGATTTAAATGCATGCCACTAAGTGGTAATATTTCCTTGCTTTAAGAACCAAATGCACTCAACTGTTTTCACTTAAGCATTCATCACCAGGGATCAAGGTCCTTCTATCATTTGAGGTCGATTCAGTAAAAAGGTGACTAAAATGAAGTGCTTGAGCTGGTCCTTAAATATTCCTGTAGTCATTGAATACCTTTGCAAATAGCAAAATTGCCACATTATGATTGAATTTGTAGTGAACAAATGAGGACACATTATCATCTCAGCCAATATTTGAGTTAGCCCAGGAGAATTTCAGCCAACTTGTATTTTACATGAGTTTAGCTGCAATTCAGTGCAAGAACTATTATATATAGGTATATATAGCTATACACACACACACACACACACATACATGACTTGAAAACAAACTTCATTTTGTATAACTGGAATAAAAACTAAAATGGAAAGATGCCAACATGTTTTTTCTACAGCAGAAAATGCACTGACCTTTCGCTCATGGTAATCATGTCTCAAGTGTCCTGTGAAGAGAAAATAAAGCAGTAACAAGTCATTTAGCTGAAGGTCACTTATCTTCCAAATTCAGCAATTCGGAGCATCAATGAGAACTTGGCAATAATCAAGAAGGGCCTATAAAAACAAAGAGATGTTTATATATCTTTTGATTTGACTTGATTTAACAAAATACTTGATTTGACTATCCACCAAAGAAGTGCTTGATACTTAATTCAATATTTTTTACTGTTATAGTCATAATTTTATAAAGCCCACCTATAAATCTTTCTAACTATGAATACATTAAAATTAATCATAATTAGGAAGCCCTTGAGTTAGCCACAGTGATCACAGAAAGAAGTTATAAGAACAACCAGAGAGCAATGGAGGAAACAGATAAAACTTTAAAATACAGAAAAATAAGCTCTCTAAAATTATAGTAAAAAGAATTCTGATCAATTTTGCAAACTTCATAACTGTTCAAACCTCCCAAGATGTCAGTTGGAATACATAAAAATGAAAGAACAAGTATCATCAAACCAAAAATTACCATAATTAAAAAAAGAGAAAGCATCTTCCAGAATAGAAATGAAGTAATACATGTACTAAGTATTCTGGGTTAGGTCAGGTAATCAAAGGGCTGGTGGGGTAGGGATTGTCAATGTAATAGAATCTGTAATTTATTTTAAGGATGCTTATAAGCATGTATAAAGGCAAACTACAACATTGCAATATTATAATTTGAGGAGAAAAATGAGTTTTTGTTGCCTACAAACTCAAGCAGAATCTCTTATACATGAAGCAGAACTAGAATTATATAATGTATTTGACTAAATAAACCCAGAAATTAATTAACCACATGGAATCAGAATCTAATAGTATATGAATCATGTAAAGCCTATTTTGGGAGTCTCATATATAAAAGGCAAAGACCCATCATTTTTAAGACAGGTATGTATTTCCTGGATGTATAATAAAGGAATATCTGCCTGAAGAGGACCTTCCAATCAAGAATTACAAAGTACTAAGGAAATCAAAATGATGAAAGAGTAACACAAACTGAGCAAAATAAAGAGCTATAATTCAGACCTAGAAAAAAGTAGAACCTGAAAAGTAGAACCTGGAAAGAACTTTAAAATGATCGATTTAATGTCTTCTACAGAAAAATAAAGTGAAAGCAACCAAAAAGGAATAAAAAGTTATGACACAGAAGCTGATGGCTATTAAACAAGAAACAGATTAATAGATTTACTACTGAGGTGACTGGAGAGACCTGAGAAGTGAAATAGTGAGCTATAAAATCAGTGGAAGCTTCCTGGAATATAGAGCAAAGAGATGAAAAAAATATAAAATATAAAACAAAGTTAAAGTACATTAGGAATATTAGGGTAATAATATAAATAAAGTTGAAACAATAACAACAGTTAGGAGATGGAAAGTTATAGAGGAAAGTATAAGTATGCTAAAATTTTTGACCCTTCCCAAAGATAGGCCTACTCAATCCATTTGTTAGGGGGAAAAAACTTGATGCTTTTATGAATAAAAACATAAAGAAATCCCCAAAGAAGAAGATGAGGAGGAAGGAGAAAAGGAGGATGAGGAGGAAGAAAATGAGCAAGAGGAAGATACATTAAGAATTAGACTAAACTTACAAACTAACAGAGAAAAAAATGGAACAAAGAACAAAAACATCAAAGACATTACTTTTAAAAATGAGGACCAAAAAAAAACCACAAAGGAAAACTTGATAAATATTAAAAAGAAAACAAAACTCCACACTAAGATGGCAGAAATAATTTATAGTATACTCTTAATTAAAATAAGCATATTTGAGTTGAAACTATTATTAAAAAAACAAAGATTTTTTAAATATAGCTGATATCTGTTTACATAGGGCAAAATTAAAGGACAAAAAAAATTGTAACAAATGAATGCAAACATGTAATGTTTTAAAAATTAATGTTTTAAAAATGATTCAGTAAGTTAAAGGAATCAGGGCTCCTGATACTTGTGAAGATCATCCCAGCTATAGAAGAGATGGCCTAGGTTTTGGAGACAGAGAAGTAAACTTGTATTTTGCTTAAAACACAGTTATTTTTGTTTTCTGTCACTTGATGCTAAATCTTCTTATAAGCAATACGTATTATGAAATATAAACATGATTAACCTGGGAATATCGTTTCAAAAGTGCCAGGAAGATTAATCAAAAGTCTTCCAGAATCTACTATCCATTTTATTTTCTTGTGTGTGTAATGTATATATATGTAATGTCTCCTCCTAGTCTAAGGCAATATCAAAATCCATTAAGACTGAATGCATCTATTGTTATTATCATCCACTGCATACCTTGAGGCATTTAATTATTAGCACTCTTGTCCTAGAGAAGAGAATTTCACATTTTGTATGTAGAATAACATCTCACCCAAAGATGTCCACACCTTAATCTTGGGCACTTGTGAGTATGTTGTTACATGACAGAAGGAATTAGGATTGCAGATAGAATTAAAGGTGTAATTAGTTAACCTCAAGATAAAAATGTTACCCTAGAGTATCTGGTTGTGACAATGTAATCACAATGGTCCTTAAATTGAAGAGGGAGGCAGAAAAAGAAAATTGGTAAAAGAGTTCTGATGGCAGAAACAGGTAGGATTGCCATTTAAGATGATCTATTGTTCTAGTTCTTTCCTCAGAACTGATAGTGTCTCCCCTTTTTTAGTTTGTAATACATGGTTATATTCTTACGATGAATCCCCCAAACCAACTTCTGTTTCAGAGTGCTCAAGTTCTGTTATATGATTGTGAATAATTCTGCACTTTTACATGATCTAAAGAAAAATATAAGAATATAAATGTGTAAATCACCAATTGGGAGAAAACATTAAGGAAAAATATAGCTGACAAACAACTTGAATCAAAAATATATAAAGTACCCTTGCAACTTAACAATTTAAAAAAACCCACAAAAATAGGCAAAGAATTAAATAGACAATTCAAAATAAGTTATATAAATAGCCAAGAAGCACATAAAGATTCATGATATCTTTAGTTATCAGGGAAATGCAAATTAAACCACAGTGTGATACCATCACCCACCAAAAAGAAAAGTTAAATTTAAAATGAATGTCAATTCCATATGCCAGCAAAAATGTTCAGTGATTGAAACTTTGATACAATGATGGCAAGAATGTAAAGATAGTAAAACGCTTGGGCAAGAAGTTGGGCAGTTTCTTGTCATCTCAAACCTATACTTTAAATATAATCTCAAGGGGCACCTGGGTGGCTCAGCTGGTTAAGCTCCTGCCTTCAGCTCAGGTCATAACCCCATGGTCCTGGGTTAGAGCCCCACATAGGGCTCAGCGGGGAGCCTGCTTCTCACTCTCCCTCTGCCTCACTCCCAGCTTGTGCATTCTCTCTCTCTCTCTCTCACTGTCTATCTCAAATAAATAAAATCTTTAAAAAAATAAATAAAATAAAATAAAATATAACCTCAAAATTCCACCCTCAAAAATGATGAAAATTAAGCCTCAACAAAAGCAAACAAACTAACTTAATATAGGCATGTCCAAGGAGACATTATTCATACTAGCCCAGAACTGGATATAACTCAAATATCCACCAACCAGAGAGTGGATATAAAAAAATTCAAGTATATTCCTTAAATGGAATACCATCAAAAAAATAAAAAGGGAAGAACTAGTGATAATTGCCATAACATAGACAAATATCAAATTTGTGTTGGAAAAAAACAGACACAAAAGAGTGCATATTGTATGATTCCATTTTTTATGATGTTCTGGAACTGGAAAAAATAATCTATGGTGAAAGAAGTTCAGAAAAATGGCAGCCCCAGGATTAGGGAACTGTTTTTTGGTGGTAATAAAATGCTCTCTCCATGTTCATATGGGTGTAAATTACATGGGTGCTACTTGTCAAAACTCAGTGCATTGTACATTTAAAATTTGCAGATCACTAAATATATATCTTATCTCAAGAACAAGAAGAACAAGAAGGAAGTGAACTCTGTTCTTATTTATACCCCAGAAAGTCTCCTTCTCATAAAATGGGAATTTGAGTAATCATAAAAACAAACTTTCCTATTTATGTACTGATTTTTGCAATATACATAGGGGAGAGAGCACGTGTGTGTGTGTGTGTGTGTGTGTGTGTGCACGTATGCATGTGTGTACAAAACACACTTGTTTGAACATGTGTCCAACCAAGTAACATTTGCTGTGTAACTGATGAATGTTTGAACACACAGCATTTATCATGTGATCAAAGCATTACCTGCTCTTTCATGTGACTTGGAAAGAAAATATTGAGTGTTAGATAGCTTTATAGCTGCTTGTCTTCAGTTACAAAGAAGTCCCCCACATCAGTATTTTTTAAATCTCCCTAGATTATATTAATTGACAGCCAAGTTGGAAACCACTGATTTTATTCACTATCACTAAAATAAACTAAAGGAGATAAGCCCTTGAAATATATCATTTTGACAACAACATTTGACAGAAGTATAGAAAAAACACAGCGAGTTTCAGAGAATTCCAAAGGAAATGAAGGAGGTCTTTGGTGCAAATACCTAAAGGACATTCTATAGTCATTTATTTTGATTGTCTGGAATTGCTTGGTATAGATTCACATACACATTATAAACTGGAGATGTAATTCTCTCCCTTTAGAGGTCTTACCCCATATGCTTGTGAGCAAGGTTAGATAGTAGTAGAGTAATTTGGCCATGGAACTAAGTCATATTCTCTGAAAGTGATAACAGAAAATCAGGCTATTTTAAAAAATTATTTATTTATTTATTTATTTAAGAAAGAGAGAGAACATGGGGTGGGGGGGGCAGGTCAGAGGGAGATGCAGACCCCGTGCCAAGCAGGGAGCCCAATGCAGCACTCGATCCTGGGACTCTAGGGTCATGACTTGAGCCAAAGGTAGTTGCTTAACCAACTGAGCCACCCCGGCTCCCAGTGAGCTGATATTTTGACTATGCTCTATTTACTGTGTAATTATCCCATATATTTTTTTAATTTAACTCATATAAAGATTTGGAGTTATAACACTTACAG